TATATATAGATATATATATATATATATAAAGTCTTAGGGACATCTGTAATGACTGGAAATGATGCCTACTTACAGTATAAACAGCATGTGTTTGTGCATAAAACTGGCTGGGACTCACCGATGGAGCTGGTTTGCCTCCTTTGGCAGTGCAGACCAGAGTAAGGTTCTGGGCCTGGTAGCGGCTGAACGGTGCTGGTGTGTTCTCTGCCACAACTGAGATGTTGTTGGGTGGAGCTGCGGAATAGAAAAGGACACCTATAAGACATTCTGGGACACTTTTACCACGTTCATCAATCTGAGCAGCATTTTCTTCGTAATGACACGCATAGTTATTCCCTATTAAGCATTTGAATGCTAAATCTCCATACTAGCTTTAACACTCCTTGGTCTTTGAAAAATATTCTGAAATACAGTGTATAACCAATGCACTTTCAAGTGGAGATGTAGTGGTGCATGGCTGGGGGTTTTGGAGCATGTCAACATTGCTTTATTCTGTCAATGAGAGCCCGACTTCTCTAATATGGGCCAGTAAAGAAGCAGTATTATACAGATAACTCTTAAGGCGAAAGAGGAAGGAAACGGAAGTCTGGAAGATGAGAGGATCGTGGCAGGGCCACAGGGAGTTTCAGCACTGGATTTCTTAGTCTGCGAAGACTCTGACCCCTCGCAGTGAAATGAGATACAACCACCTACGATGCAGAATCGCAAATGTGCGGTCCTGGGGGTGCTGTTATAGTGCTCGGCATTCCAGCAGCTATCTGAAACATAAAAAAGCATCGTCATAAATGCTGTGTGTGCGAAACCCAAGTTGTTTAAGACGATGTGGGAAGCTTTATGCATATAATATCAACCAACTCCTGCCAAGCTCCACTGGGGAGCCATATGAGCGTGACATGACATCGGAAAAGCAGAAGCGCATGTCTTGACCGCCTGTGGGGATCCATGGGCCAGACGAAGACGGACTTCCTGGTGCTTAATGTAGGAAGGATATGAGGCTGGAAGGCTTGAAATCAAAGCCCTTCCCAGTTCTCCATTTGAATGGCCTTTAATTAAGCCTACCTGTCAGTTGGAACAAGCTGACTTTATCAGCTGTTCATGGATGAAAATGGGTGTGGGGGTTTATCACATCTGCATTTTTTACTAGCACCGAGCGATTTATGATCCTCTGTCAACGCGCCAGCGTAGGTGGGCATTGACTATTCAGGCAGCTGCATTATCACATAAAACACTTCCTGCAAATTCCCTTTCATACCCTGCTGAGACAATTGGATGTTGCTTCTGCTTAGTTTAGACCTGTCTTCAGCTTTTTGCATGTTGAAAGGAGGACAAAAGGCATGTGATATCAGCAGAGCATTCGAGAGTTAGTTCACCCAAAAATTATGGTTTTTATTCACCCTTATGTCATTCCAAACATGTATGACTTACTTTCTTCCATGGAACACAAAAGGAAGAAAGGTCGCTTTTTTCCATGCAATTAGCTTTTGAGCTTCAAAAAGGATGCAAAAACACCATAAAAGTATTATACAATTACATTCAAAGTGCTCTACATGACTTGCACTATATTTCAAGTGTTTTGAAGATTAAAGACTGACAATTTCCTTGTTATTCACTGTTAGTTGCCCTTCCAATGAGCTGTAAACCACTGGCACCAGATCAACGAGTCATTAGCCGGGTTTCCATCCAAAGTTGCGAATTTAACTTATGGGCAAAATTGGAATATCACATAAAGCATTTGTGAACAAGCACGTTTCCATCCAACGAGTCAAAGACAACAAAATAGTCACTTGCTGATAAACTGGCACTATAAATCACTAAGAAAAGTAGGAGAAGCTACTGACTATAATAATTTTCATGTATAATAAATTACTTGCGCCTCAGAGCGAGCAGATGAAACATAATGAATGCAGTCATTGCTTTCGGAGGTGGATGCTGCTGTTTGGGAACGCAGTTGTGTAAGACATTTCTGGTAGGCAATAATACAGAAATACTTTGATGACAGACGTTGCTCTGGCATTTCTGAATGACCATAACAACATTTCAGATGCTGTGGAATGAGATCAGTCCGCTGGTTAGTCAGGATTTGCCATCCCATAGCGCAAAGTCGCATAACTTTTTTGATGTGCTTGGAGGAATTTATTTGCAAAATGCATTTCCATCTCCCATTATTCGCATTAACCCTTTTTCACACAAGTCAAAAACCACCTCAAGCGAGCGTAAAAACCTTTTTGGGAATTAAGGGATTTTTATTCGGAATTTGGCATTTCCATCACTCGTTTCTCATGTGATACTTCAAAATGGGCATTATAATAGGGTGATGGAAACATAGCTATTGAGTTGAACCAAATAGGGAACGTTTCTCATTTGTTTGTGAATGTGCAAGAGATATTCGGTAAATTACAACTTAATTACATTTTTGGTTGGTTTCTCACACAAAACTATTGCATGTCTTCACAAGACTTGGAATATATAATTTGTGATACTTTTATGGTGCTTTTTTTGAGTTCTTCGTCATACATGTTTGACAGTGTTTTCATTTTTGAGGGAAAAAAAAGAGCCCTTCAGAGCATTTGCTGTGAATCACTTGATCAATAACGCTTGCATACTAAGCAGGCAGAGGAAGAAAAAAGATGGCGTATCAGGAGGCCAAGGGTAATAACGTTTTTTTTTTCCAAGTGTCACTTTAAGTCTAAATCCATGTGCTACTCTCCAATAAATGTGCAATTGAAATTAATTGATTAAAACAAAAGGGATGGAGGAATGTGTGAAGGTTTGAGAGCTTTTGTTTCCTCAGCACCTAATTGCTTATTGATGGCAGATGTATGGAAGGAAATTAACCTTAGCGAACACTATTAGCTCTCTGGGAAACTGAGACTTGTTCTAAATTGGAGAATGATATGCTGTCACTTGATATTGCGGATGGGACTATAATACGCACCTGCACGCACACCCGAGACGCAGAGTGTTGCCCCTGAATTGATAGCGTCCCAGAGCCATAAAAGAGAATGTTAAATGTTCTGTTTGTTAAATGCTCACAGTGGTCTTGATGGATGAGACCCTATGGTTTCTGTTTATAGCAGTGGCTAGTCAAGGCTAATTAACCATGTGCTCTCACAACTGCTTCACGAAATGAGCCAAGCATACCAATACAAACCAATGCCAGTTTGAATGGAATTACAGCTTTTTCACACTCACTTTGATTACACTATCAAGGTTCTTGAGTGTTTTTTTAATTTTGTGCACTGAGGGGAAAAAAACATTATTTTCGAAGAGAAGGCCATTTTGTCAGTTTCTTCACACAAAGCTTGTTTCCCCATCGGTCTTACTTTGTCAAGTTTCAATGTCATACTCAAAGATAAAGCTAAAAAAGCGGATATATTTGTAAAAACAAGACCGAATGTTTACCTGAGTCGTTTTTATTCTCAAATGATCAAGTTGGAGAATAATCACTGCTGTTGCGACCACATGCAAGTTTTTGTTCATAAAATAAATCATTAACAAATATTATATAATGCTTATTTCATACAATCATGCACTTTAAAAAAAAATCTACAAATGATATTAACAGAAATTGTACAATGATTAAAAGCTTATTTGTACTATTGAACGCTAACAAATGTCTTTAAACTTCAGTTCATATCCTCTTTTTTACATTTACAATTGTTAGTCATTTTAAGCACTTCACAAAACATTCATGTTAATATATTATTCACTAACTTATAATCACAGTCTGTAAAGGTCACACATTTGGTCTTTGTTTGTTACACATCTTAACAAATCATTAATTATTTGTTAATGTTTTTCTGCAGTACCCAATCTGAAGTGGAAACTATTCATCATTTGTAAATGTTTACAAACATTTACTAATCATTAGTACCTTAATGAGCAGTCATCTCAATGGCAAAAAGTGTCCCAAATGACCTGAATTCACCCTATTTACACATTGTAATAAATTATTTATTAATCATCTCATGTTTTTGCTGTACCCAATCTAAAGTGGAAACTATTCATTATTTGTAAATAAATGTTTCATTATATTTCAGTAACTTTATAGGAAATGGGCTTTTAGCTGCTGTAACAATGTTTGTGTAAAGAGTGGTTAGTTCAGTTTAGCTAAATGCTTGCTAAAGGCATAACACACATTGTAATTTGGGTGCAAAAATGCCACTAAATTGTTACACGTTTTTACAGCATTTCGCATTATAACCAATCACACACTGCCGAGCTCATGAATGCTGTAACCAATCAGAAACGCCGGAATTTTGTTGAGTGCACACGCTCCAGATCACTGACTCACTCTGTTGAGCTCTTGAAGCGAATCAGTCCAATTCATGAACCAATCATTCAGATGAAGTCAAGTGAACAATTCATTCATGAATCAGACATTGCAACTATATTCTTCACACAAATCTGTCATATGGATTTAGACAAACTGAAATATAGTGCAAGAGACATATGGACTACTTATGATGCATGGTTGTGCCTGAAAGCTTCAGTCCTCAGTTATTGTAATTGCATAAAAACATTAACCGACACCATCTTACACAAACGAAAGTGTACAGATTTGGAACAACATAAAGGTGAGTAAATGATTACAAAATTATCACTTTGGGTAAAACATTCCTTTAATATGCAGAAACAACTATTTTGAAAAATGTAAACACTGCCATCCTATCAAATCACTGCTCTATTTGTTTGAACAATAGACTGTAAAAAAAAGAGGACAAAGTGTCTCCACTTCCTTCTACTACAGAAAACATCTCAGTATGCCCTCTGTCATCTTGCAAAAATTACGTTATTTGGAGCCAGAGTCTGCGCAGTAGCGAAAAAATTTGTAAAAAAAGAAAATTAATAAATAAAATTCCTACACTGTATGGATGTTTGTTATTTTTTAAGGCTGCCATGAAAAAAAACTTCAGTATTCTTGAACATAATAAATAAATAATAATAATAATAAACTCTTCTAGAAAGAACGTTTTGAAACCACTCTTAAAATGCTTGACTCTGGACCCCTCTTAAGTGGTTTAAAGAATTTCATATCTCCTTATAAGAGGGCATACAATAAATGTTTCCAACCCTTTTCCCCTCTTTGAAAAAGTGTGTGAACCATTTCCCTCCTCTCATAAGCCACACAGTCAGACCATTCATCCTAATGGGAGCAGCCGTATTCCTTTTGCAGTACGATAGCCTGAAGTGTCATTACTGTGCTCTCTTTAAAAAATAACAGCATTATTTTT